GAAGAGCCTCTCTTTCCAAAAGAAATGGTCCTGTGTGTGGACCATTCATTCCCCTTTGTGCCAGCTCCTGCCTCTGCCCCGCCAGCCACCGCCTTCAGGAGCTGAAGGCGTGCTCTGCATGAAAGGGGCACCCAGAAGGGTGCTCCTAATCCTGCCTAGATCACCTTCCAGCTGCTGTCAGATTTGCAGGAACAGATCCAAGGTGACAGCCAGTCACACTGAGGCTCAGGGCCCCATCCACAGAGGGATGGGGCTCTGGAAAGGAAATGCACAATGTCCCTTCCTCCTTGAAGACTTCTTGGGGCAAGGGTCCAATAGCGAGCACGGCACCCAGGCCAACTTTCATTTCAATTGTCATCCTAGAGCCACCCCGGCCCTTGGCTTCGGTTCCCATTCCAATGGGCTGCAGAGTAGTCATTCCAGTAAATGCATCAATTAGCAGCATTTCTTCCTGGCCCACCATTTGCGCAGGACCTCTCTGGGTAGCAAGTGTGGGGTCCGTTGGGTGGAAGTGATGGAGACGTGACCTTTGGAGAATGATCCCAACCAAGCAACTCATGGTCCACTTACAACTGAGTGGCCCTTTCTAAACGTGGTCTCAAACCCTCCTCCACTGTCTTCCTGTGCACCCAAGAGCCCTGCTCACTGGGACCAGGATAAGGGATGAGTTCAAGATAGCTCCACCCTCACCTGGTCAGCCAGACGTGGTCAGCCCCACCAAGCCCAGAGCAGGCTTGGTGGAGAGTTCAGACCCCACATGATGACCCAGTGACTCCACCCAGGGAACTGGCTGCCACCCTGACCTGGGTCCCTGGAAGGTACAATCCTGAGTCTCTGTCCTGGTCGGTGTCTGGTGTCCCAAAGGGCAGGGCTTGAAGGGACAGGAGGATTGATGACAGCTGGGGGACATGCAGAGCAGACACCTGAGCCCCTGTGCTCGTGATAGGCGATGAGCTCAGTCTTGGTCATGAAAGCCAGTTGGAGACCCTCCCCGGTCACCTGGGGTCACCTGCTACTGCCTTTCACCCACTAATCCTTTGAGCCCACCTGTAGCCAGGTCAGTCAACCCCACGCATATTCCATTTGAAAATACAACATTCTTGGGTCTGTACTTCCCTCAGAGAGGACTGCAACTTCTCTACCTGTCCCCGAAAAGGGACTAACATAACCAGATACCACGGCGCCCCATGCTACCCCCACCGCCACCAAAGAAAGAACTGGCAGCAAGGCAAGAAGAAAGTATTTTTGAAAAGAGTCACACACACACACACACACACATACACCACCGCCTCCCCACCTCCCCCAGTCCTGGAAATCCAGGGTGGTCGAAAAGCTCTCATGACAATAAGGCATAATCCTGTGTTGCAGGTGCTGAGTGCTCTTAGAATGAGAGTGAAAGGGGATCCGCGTTGCTCAGGGATCAGCCAGGCTCTCAGGATGAATAATTCAGCCTGCTCGTGTGGCCGTGGGATCAGAAGGCTGGCTGTGGGGAGGGCAGAAGTCGGGCAGGATACAGCCCCCAGCACCATTTCGCCTCTGACCATGTAGCCTTGGGCAAACCAGATCTTCCTGACCTTTGCCTTTACGGCAGGTCAAGAGAATCCCTGGGGCTTCTCCACCCTCACACTGCCTCCTTGAACAACGAATGCCCCCCTTCATCAGAAATGCAGGGCCTTGTTTGCCCAGTGTGCAGAATAGCAGGGGACTAGATCCCTGAGCCCCTTCCAGCCCCTATCCCAAGACTGCACTTCAACCAAAATGGAACCAGCTGCCAGACAGTCAATGCTGCCTCATAGCAACCCCGTGTGTTTCTGAGACTGTAACTGTTTCGGAGTAGAAAGCCCAGCTTTCTCCCGCAGAGCTGCTGGTGGTTTCAAACTGCCGACCATGTGGATCGCAGCCCAACGTAACTACTGCACGTCCAGGGCTCCTCAAGGCTCCAGGAGCTCCTTCCAAGTTTGAGTTGCCTAAGAGAGGTTGTTGGGGTCCCCCAGCTGATGGTTGGGTCAAGACCAGTGGACTATGCCCCATGAGAGCAGCAGGGCCCTGCAGGATCTGGGACTACCAGCAGGGTAGACCACCTCCCTCTGCTCCAGCCAGTACAAGATACCCATTCTGAAAGCTGGGACGGCACCTGGTCTGTGTAAAACTCCGGAAGGCAGAGCCTAAGGGACGGACTCACCTGGTCTGTGTAAAACTCCAGAAGGCAGAGCCTAAGGGACGGACTCGCAGACTTGCCTGGGGAGATGGACCCAGCTGTATGGCCTCACAGTGCCTGGTCTCACCACTGCACTCCAGGAAGCAACCCTGCCTTGGGGTGGCCGTGTGCAGGATGGGGCATGCACGTGCTGGCTTCCCAGAGCAAGGCCTTGGGCACCCCAGGAACCTCCCAGCAGCCGCAGATGCAGCACCCACACATGCTGCCCACCACCCTCGGCCCCGCCCTGCCCCGCCCCAGGCCTGGGCGTACTCACAGGAGATCTGCTTCCACTGCAGGGCAAGCCAGGTCCTCTGCTCGGGGCTGCTGCCCGGTGCCAACATGATGTGAAGTCCCAGGGCTCCCGCAGCTGCACCTCCGTAGGGAGAGGCGGCCCTGCGCGCGCGGCCAGTCAGTCCTGGCAGAAAGCGGGGGCTGAGAAGTGGGTGTGCAGCTCCAGGTTGTGCCCGCCCAGGGATCAGGGAGAGGGCTGGGTGTCTCTTTACGCCTTCTGGATCGCTCTCTTGTTCACTGCTTGGTGATGACTCTCTGGGGAGGAGGGACAATGGGGCAGAGCCCAAGGAGCAAAACCACCCACCCCTGGGGGTGGGCAGAGGGCCTGGGGGCCTGAGTTCGGTCCCCACCGCCAGCCTCTCCCAGCCTCCTCTTAGTGCCTCTCGGATGTCACAGGTGGTGGGGTTTGGACAGACCTCTCTCTTCGGTGGCAGTGTGGTGATGGGCACCAGCCAGCACAGGCTCCCTCACAACAGTCGCCGGGCCCCAGAGCTCCACTTACCATGGGCCCAGAGCAGGCAGTGGCAGGGTCCTCCTCGGGGGCTGTGGGTAGGCTGCTGGGAGCCCCCCGGGCGCCCCCTTGCTGGTGGCCTGTAAGGTGGGTCTCCCAGCTCCGTCTTCCACCAGCCGGTCTGTAATGAGGCTCATCAGCTCAGGGGGTCGTGTTGCTGCAGCTGCTCAGACAGGACACAGACACACAGGGAGGCAGCGGTGAGAGGGGGAGTGGAGCCCAGGGAAGGTGGGTACCGCCCAACCCAACCCTGGGAGGCAGGAAAGGAGGAAGGGGACTTCCCCCCCTCAGTGCCCAGGGCCCCCCAGAGCTCCCACCCTCCCACCTCCCTCTGCCTTAGGCTGGGCGTCAGAGCCTACGCTCCCACCCTTTGCCGGGGGCTGTTATGCCATTCCTGCAGCTGGTGAGGGGGGAGGTCGGCAACAAAATGGGGGACGTTTGTGCTCACATCCCCATCTCCCTCCCAGCTCCCCGAGGAGCCCTCCTCTCACCACCCCACTGCTTCTGCCTGGCTCCCAGAGTTTGACCTTCCTGGGCTGACAAATGTATCCCCTGGTAATTCCTGGTGGCAGCCTCCTCCACATCCCCACCCCTACCCTCACCCCCCACCCCCACCCCTCCCAGAGGAGGCCTGTTTAATTCTGGGAGCCCAGGAGCCAATGGCAGAGTGAGGCTGACAGCTGAGGAGGTGGATGGAGCTGCCGGGAAGCTTGAGTGTTCAGCTCAGAGGAGCTGCTTTGCCCTGGGCCTGCGGCTGCGGGCTCTTCGGCCTCGCCCCCTTCACAGCAAATTCTCACACTCGGCCTGGTTACAGAGCCAGACTAGAACACAGCCCCGGACAGGCAAGTGGTCAGCTAGGGCCCGCCCCTTCCAAGGGCACCCTGCTGCCTGCGCTCCATCTCCCCCTTCCTCTTGCCTCCACCCCGTGAGGGTGTAAGGCCAGCTTCAGGGGCCTGTTTGTGAAGCGGCTAACAGGGCTAGCACAAGGGTCACAAGGTTCGCAGCTCTCTGGCTCTTGGCTGGCCCAGAGCCGGGGTGGAAGCACCCCCAGACCCCACACTGCTCTGGGGACTGGGAGGAGGCGAGCTAAGAGCAGAGTAGCCTATGGCTCTTGGAGACCCCCTCCCTGGGCCCAGCCACCACCAGGCTCCTGACTCCGATCCACAGAGCAAGGGGGACTGGGTTCCCATCCTCTCCAAACCGTGCCCTAACCCATGTCTTGGCTTTCCTCCTTCTGCATGTGGTGACTGATACTGGTGGGAGGAAGGCTGTGAGGGGCCATTTAAATACACAAAGTGAAGGAGCATTTACTATGCTGCACGCACGCACGTGCTCTTGGGAGGTGATCTAGGTGAATGCTACTGGCTTAGACTTGGGCACGTGACAGGTGTGAGGAGACGGCAGCTCCTTCCTCCCTGGGGAGGGGCCCTCAGCAGTCTCCAGACAGTCTATGAAAGGCTCTCTCAGGCCCCGACAAGTTCTCACCCAGGCTGAGCCTGCACCAGGCCCTGACCGACCGCCACAAGGTACGGGTCACCTGGCTTGCTCTCACACATGCCTTCACAGGCCGCTGTCAGTGACAGCAGAGCCCACCCCGTCTCTGGTTTGGACCTGCAGACCCAGGCCTTCAAACACTCTCCCTCACTCCAGCAAGAGCCCGTATGTCAACCTCACAGTATCAGGCAGGTCCAAGGGCACCCCAGGCACAGAGAGGATGGCAGCTGGCCCAAGGTCACACAATAGGTCAGAGACTCAGTGGAAGGCTTCTGAGCAGCCTGTGCACCCACTGCCTAGAGACTGTCACCTAGCAATCGCCCTTGCAGGGAGGTGCCCATGTGTGCACAGAGCAGCTGCACACCCGGGCCTCCCAGACATGTCTTGGCACTCCATACCCAGCACGTGATGCAAACACACTCCCACAGTAAGTTGTGCAGCTAAGCAAGTGCTCACACACACACACTCACACGTGCAAGCACTCACAATCGGCTACACTACTGCATACTTGCACACGCTCACACTCGTGCATGCACACATACATATGCACCCACGCGCAGGCTCACACACAGGCACACATTCATCCACCTGCACATGCAAACACACCTACACGCACACTCACATGCACACATGCACGCACTTGCACATGCACACACACACATAGGCACACTCACACATTCCCACACTCGCAGGAATGTGCACAGGCTTGTAGGCATGCAGGCTCACACATTTGCCTACAATCACACACATGCACCTACAGGGGCCCACCTCGCCAGCAGCCCTCCAGCACCAGCCCTCAGACACCAAAGCTCCGGAAGCAGGTAGAGCACAAGCTTCGGGTCCCGAGTGCCTCCAGCCTAGAAGGGAGGTCCAGAGGACACCCCCCAGGGAGGTCGGACACCCAGGCTCTGCCCCCACTCTTCCTGGCTTCCTCCTAGGAGACAACTGGTTCTCAGACCCTCCCCCAAGGGGGGCCCCCAGCCTTGAACAAGAACTCCCCTGCCCAAGTTCCCACCATGCATAAGACTTGTCTTCAGCGGTAACAAGACACTGCTAACTCTGGTATCCTCTGGAGAAATGTGACAAAAACAAGCTGCCCCCTGTCCCATCCCCCAGGGAAACCCTGAACCCTCTGGGGTGAGACTCTGGCCCCACCAGCTTCTTGGACTTCTTGCTGGGTGTCAGAGCCTGCGTGGGAGGAAAGGCATGCCCAGCATGGGACAAATCATATAGGAGTGGCAGCATGGAGGTGACCCTGAGGGTGCCGGGGAGCCAGAACCCAGCGCTACCCAGTCCTTAGCCTCCCACCCACCAATACACCTCCAACCAAAGGATTCTTCCCGCCCCCAGAAGAGTCCAACCTCCTTAGGAAAGGGGTGACCTACATTGAGAAGCCGAGAGAGCAGCTGCTGCAGCAGGCGCTGGCCAAATGCTAAAATGAATGAACACAGTTTAGGAGGACAGACCCTACCCATCTGGAGACTGCGGTGGGCAGAACCCGAGTCAGGTGGGGTACCCTGGCAAGAAAATCCCCCATCCCCAAGTGCAACAACCGTGTCAGCTACGAGAGTGCGGGAGGACCCGCTCCCCATCCTCGCCTGCTTTCTGTCCAAGTCCGGAGACAAAGACCAGCGGAAAGGGACTGGAGCCCAGGGGGGTCCCTGGGCCCCCTTCACTAGTCTCCTTCCCTAGAGGCACCCCACCAGGGCAGTCAGCCCCTCACCCAGGCTGCAGACACCCAAACTTCCAATCCCTCTCTTCCTGGCTTCCTTCAGGGAGACAGCTGGCAAGCAGACCCTCCCCCCCAAGCCCATAGAGAGCCAGGATTGGATGAGGGAGCCTGGAGAGCTATTAGCTGTCCAGGGGGTAGCCATAAAACCAAAAATATAGGGCTTTGTGCTCCGGCCAGCACCAGGGGACTGGCCTGGGATCTTGTCAGAAACACAGACTCTCAGCCCCATGCTAGCCAGACTGCATCAGAATCGGCATTTCAACAGCACTGGCCACCGGGTGATGGGGAGCCCTATTTGGGTTTGAGAAGCCCTGGGCCAGATCGTTCCTGACACCCCAGCAGATGCTGTCACAGGCCCCACAGCCCAACCCACTGACCAGAGTCTGGAGTAGAACTTCCCCCTGGGGCTTCCAAGCTGCACGTCTTTAGGGGAAGTGACCACCTCATCTTTCTCCTGCGGGACTGGACGGCTGGTGAGATCACACCTTTGACCTTCCCAATAGCAGCCCATTGCTGCCCCCGCTGCTCCTCGGGCACCTCCAGACAGGGGCAAATAGCTACCCTCGAGCAGTACCGGAGGAGCGCAGTGGTCATGTGTTGGGCTGCTAAACTGAACGGTCAGGTGTTCGAAACCACCAGCCACTCCTTGGGAGAAAGGTGAGACCTTTTACTCTCATAAAGAGTTCACACTCTGGGAAACGCTCAGGGGCAGCTCTACCCTGCCCTGCAGGGTCTCCGTGCATCAGCATCGCCTCAATGGCAGCGAGTTTTCCTGAAGGCAGACACCAGCCAGAGGAAGACGTAGACCTGGGTCAGTGGTAGGCCCCCCTTCACTCTTACAGCTACCAGGGGGCCCGGTGGATGGGGACACACTGCTGTTTGTACTTCCTGTGACACCTCGCTGTGGGCAGCAGTGACGAGAGTCCCAAAACACAGGGCTCTGATCTCAGCTCTCTGAGGCCAGCAGAAGTACCCACAGTGCTCTACAGATAGGGGAACAGAGAGAACACCCCCCTCCGGCCCCCACCCCCACCTGTGAAATCACCTGCCTGAGGAGAGGCAAACGGAAAGACTTGGTGGTGAGCTCGGTTCAGGGGTCAAAGGTCCCGAGGCAGCTGCCTCTATAGACTTCTCTTTTCAAGGCATAGTCAGAAAGGGAGGCGGAGGGGGGCTGGGGGTCATCACCTCCCGCTGTATGGCACTGTACTGTTTACAGGGCTTTCCCCCACCCACGGTCTGGTTGGAGCTGAGAGGACTACTAATGAGGAGTCCACTACTCGGTGACAGCCACGTCTTTCCCTCCAGCCTCCTCTCTTTCCAATAATATCGCAAGTGATAAAAAGTCCTGGAAGAGAGATGGAGGGGGCTTTCTAGAAACTCCTCTGGCTGGGGGTTACGGGCTGTGGGGAGGGAAGGCAGGCTGGGTGTTGGGGAGGTAGAGATGGAGCAGGCGGTGGCAAGCAGGAGCAGAAGTTTCCATATGCTCCCATGGGGAGCCGAGTGGGCTGCAGAACCCCCGGGGGACTCCCGGATGGGAGCAGCTTCTGTGCATTGCAGGACATGGGGTCAGGATGGGGCCCAGCTGAGACCCCTCCAGCCCTCTGCTCCAGCCACTTCCTCTCCAGCCCGGGTACATCAAACCTCAGCTTAGTCTCCTCAACTTCTCTCCAGTGTTGGTCTGCCCGGTCTAGCCTTTAGCCCCGGGGCCTGGGCCCTCTCCTGAAGCCCCTGAGTCCCCAGGAGAGAAGAGTACGAATCTTAGACCTCAGCAGCCCTTGGCCAATGCCCCCAGTATGCAGATGGGGACCTGAGCCCTAGGGAGAAAATCAAGTGTCCAAGCCACACAGGCAGCCCATGTCCATTGTCCATTGCACCTGAATCTGGGTACTCCTGTCACACTCTGCCTCCCCCACCCCCCACTCCGGCCACCCTCCTCGCACCTCCCCCTGGTTCATTGTCCTTGGATCAGGGCAATGCCTTGGTGCGCCTTCAGCATCCAAGACTCACAGTATTTGGGAGCAAAACGGAGCCTTTGGGGCATCTTCACAAACCCCTCATTTTTTCAGAGAGGAGAAGGTGACCATGCTAGTGAGAGGCAGAACGGAGATGCAGCCCACCTCTTCAACCTCAGAGGACAGTGCCCTCCCCACTCCAGGCTGAGGGAGCAGCAGGGTGGCCACCACCCCGAGTCTTGTAGAAAGAGGCCCCAGACGGTATGTGTCCTTGGGAGCTGCTGGTAGAGTGGGCTGTCCGCCTGCTGCCAGTAACCTGGCCAACCAGCCCTTCTAGGAAACATTCTAGATTTCTCCCCACCCATCTTGCTCCTAACACACAGCACAGGCGGCAGGTGGGCAGGCAGTTCATACCCAGGGCCGATATCTGCACCCTCCGAATTCATTTTAAAACCTTGACATGTCCCCATTTCTTATTCCCAGCTGCCTGCACACTTGTTTCAGCCTCAAAAAGGCCAATCTCAAACAGAGCCTCTGAGGGACGGGAGAGAAAGACCCCTGAGTCAGTCAGGGCTCCTGGCTGCACCCTCGTCCTTATCAATGAGCTCAGTGCACACCGAGGTGGCGGTGCTGGCCCCTCATTGCACTGCCTCGGGCCAGGGGAGGTAGGTGGCAGGAGACATCAGCCTGGGGTGGCACAGGGGAAAGGTGGCTGACAAGGCGAAAGACTGACTGCCTGGCTCCTTCCTCCTCTCCCCACCCCAGATCTCCCCAGACACCCCCAGCCATGACACATAAATCCCTCCCCATACTGCCTTCTAAGCTGCCCACTCAGACCACAGCAGGCCCTTCGGAAGGGGCTTGCTCACCCCGGGGAGCCCCAGACAGCAGCTTCCAGCCCAACCCCAGGGAAGTCAGATCCGTTGCTTAAGAAACCTCCTCCTCCTCCTCAGGCTGCCACCCTCAGCCCTGGCTTTCCTGGTCTCCTTTCCTTGGCTGCACCAGAGACTCTGCCAGTGGGAGGTGGGGGTGGGAAGGGATGGACTCTTCTTGGCCCAGGAAGCCGGAAGCCACTGTTGGGTTTCCCCACCAACTGGACTGCCCCCACCGCACCACCACGTGCTCACCCCTCCCCCACGGATGCAGTTATCTAAGCAGCAGGGGTGTCCATCAGTGCCCAGCCAAGCTGACAGCCACGTGCCAGCATCACCACCACAGGAAATGCGCGAGTTCAGACAGAGGACTTGCTGGGAGGTGTGGGGATTCCAAGGAGCAGCCAAATCCTGGTCAGACTGCCCCTCTCTTTAGCGGGGTCGGCACAGGGGAGCCCTGGAGGTCCTGAGAGCAACCCAGGGTGACATTGCCCCACAAGGTGGAAGTGACATGACTTGGTTCCCACGGCCCCTTCCCATTGAGCTGAGCCCGCCACAGAGGGGAGGGGCGCCTGAGTGCGCTCTCACAGCGCACTCCCCAAGTCTTAGCCCCAAGCGGGCAGCCTGGGAGCAGAGCCTTGGCCTTGCTGACAAGAGAGGAAGGCTTCTCTCTGAATCAGGGCCTGGCCACACCCCCACCAGCTTCGCCCAGGGCTGCTCCCACTCACGTCCAGCTTTCTCCAAGGCCAGCCACCCCCTCCACAGGGTAACCTGTAAAATGGCCCATGCCTCCAGCAGCCATCCACCCTGCTACCCCCTGTCTTCCTCTGCCCCAGCCCTGTCACCAACACCCCTGCCCACAGCACCCAGTCCCTGTAGGAGGCTGTCTCTGCTGAGCTGGGCATCCAGACAGCACAAGGCTCTTGGCCGGCTCTCCCCAGGCGGCAAGACCTGTTTCTATGCCATCCCGGGCTGTCAGCTGGCA